CACATCCAAACTTAGAGAGATATATGGTTAATTCGACCAAATTTTATCTCGTTTAAAATCCGAGGGGTTCTCGGCGCATTTGACGCAACTACAATTTATGAAGGCAAAGGAAAGGCCAAGGGAAATATACAACAATTATTTCGACATTGAAAAGAGCCTTCTGCGAAAAGAGAGCTAATGACTCTTACGACGATAAATTGCTTGCATTCTTTTAATGGTACTTGACGAAAAGGTCGACTCTCTCGACTCAATCGCTCTCGTTTAGATTCGATTTCGCGTGTAACAGCATCCGCGATTGACGTAGACCACATCGATAATTGTGAGAGTGACGTTGTAACGTCTTAACCCGATTCCTTGACCCGAAGACGCAACTAGCTCCGACCGGCTCGCCGAATACAAGGAAGCTGTTTAATCACGTGCTCGAGCGATCTCGATGAATTTCTTCTTGGTATTCGTTGAATGACATTGACGTCATCAGGGCTTCGTTGATAGTCAACCGTATCGTGTCGAGGGGCAAGTCGAAATTTTCCTAGGGTTCCTATTCACATGATCGGCCGTAAGAACCCCGGGCTCCGTCCCGGTCGCTTGTGTAGCGTGATGCCGCGTCATCACGATTCTTTTCTACGCCTCGTGTCACGTCGCATCCGTCACGCATATCTAACGCATACCTAACGCACGTGCGTGGGCGCCCTTACGTAAACGATCGGCTCGTTTGCGCTCCGCGCGACTGCGGGAAAAACACGATACACTAAAAAACACACGGACGACGAGGACGACGAGGCACGTCCATCACTCGTCGTCGAAAATACGTTGACATTTTGAATCTCAATGTCCGGCATTGTCCGAGTCTTATTTCGTCTCTCTGTTAAATTCGCACACGTACTCCGCCATTCCGGAGTCTCTCGTCTCTCGACGTCGCAAATGACGGATGGAAAATGTATATATATAATTGCACGTGGAGCGAGATTTTTCGAAACGGCTGATGCGCGAGACACTGACGCGTTACACTTACACATTGACGGGTAATTGATAAGGCGCGGTTTCATATTATATGGCGATCAATCATCGAGGAATATGGAATGTAATTACGTGGACGTCTCTTCTTGGAACGACGCGACTTTCGAAAAACGCGAAGCGACGATGGTGTATCCCGTTAAGATGATCAGCTTAATTCAAACGATGAAAATTCCGCGAGGACTCGCATGTCACGTATGCCGTTTTTCTTAACAAATGGCCTGATTTATTTCTTGAAACATCACGTTAACCACGTTTACATATCAAAATATTCACGGGACTTACCACAAGTTGATCACAAGTTATATCGCGATATTCATATTTAAGTTGAATCGCCGATAAGGGAAAAAAGGATAATCGAATTTTGCGAAAAAGAGTCCAAATAAGAAGCATGCATGCAAAAATCAACACGAGTCCTTATAGCTTAAGATAGAAAAAAAAGAGAATTTATTTCTGCAGGTTAAAGCGATGTAGCATGAGTGCTAATTTTTTAAGTAATTCTTGAAACTTTTAAAGTTGTGCATACATGTGAAATACATCCGAAAAACATGAAAAATAATTAGAATAATTTATTTATATCATATTTATTATATTTATTATATTGTATTATATTTATATTATATTATATTTATTTATAATTATAATGCAAAATTATTTTTACTTTACTCATTTTCACAATTTTTTACTTTACTCATTTTCACAATTTCTTTGGACATGTTGAGTTTTGCGCACATGCTCTTCAAATATACATATGTCCACTCAAAACACATGTGTTTCGACTAAAAAGAATTTCATCATCTCGAAATGCTCGACAATATGCGCAGCTATCCCTCGAAGAAGAAATGATGAAAATCTTTTTCGTCGAAACACATATGTAAATGTGTCAAGGATTTGTTTTTTTAAATGTGAGAGAAAAGAATGAATGTTTAAAGTGAGAGAAAAAAATTGCAATTTCTACTAAATTTCATCAAAGAATAATGTCAAATGGAGCCAAAAAGCTTATTTATAATAATCTCGTATAAGTTTTTTCTTCAATTCGAACATTTTATGGAAAATTGATAATTATTAAATAATTATTTTATGAAAAATTATGAAAAATTTGGAAAAAAGAAAAGAGAAAAAACATTATCTGCATCTCATTTTACACGAAACGGAAGTTTCGTAATATTTCTCCTCTTCTTCTTCTTCTTCTTTACAGATTTCCCTCTTTTAGAACGCGGTATCACATGTTTCTCCTTATCGCATGATCGTGAAAGCAAATTCATGTCTAAAAAAAAGGGTGGTGGAAGAGAAAAGGGAAGAGTGGACAGAGGGTGGGTGGAGGGAAAGGAGGGCTTCTCGTCCGACAAACTACTGCGTAGTTTCTCCATATCATTTAGTATATTCCTCTTCGAAATAAAGTGACGCAATTCGGACTTCGAGGGAGATCATAAGCCATGGCTTCTTCCCACACCCTCTCCGCTAGTTCTGTCCTCCCGACCTTTTCCTTCCCGTGAGAAATGCCATGCGCCCGACGAATGTTTCTAGTTACCTCCTCTCCCTCTTCCCATCCTCTCCCCCTCTTTCTAGTCATCATTTTCATCTCCCATATAGCGTCCTGAAAATATATTGCGTCATCCCTCATCTATAATCGCTTCACGGAAGCTTGACCGGTCCGGGAGGAGTCTCGTATATTTTACTCAAAGAAAGAAACTCAAGAAAAAAACAAACGTCATTGTCAATCTAGGTATGACAACGACGAGCCGAGGCAGAGATGGTATAGCACATTATGATTGCGTATATGAAGGAATCCCGGCGTAAGTGGCAGGAGGCCCCGCGATTGGTCGAGAGGTTGACGGGCCCCCGTCGAGCCTACAAGACTTCTATATAATACACTAGACTACGAATTACTTATATATTAGTCTTATATTTGTATCCCGAAAATAAATAAGCTTATGAAGAATGTTATTGTAATAACATGTTATATGTTATGTCATATTATGTTATGTTATGTTATGTTTGTACATGTTATGCTTGTTATGTTTATTGTAATTTTACATCAAATTTAATTTATATTAATTCAATTCATCCGCAAATATTTTATAATTTAACTTTTATACTAGCAGACAGCCACATTCCATGTCAGCTTATTTGACGCATACGCCAGTTTTAGACATAAAAGTTGGGTACATCTCATAGACAAGAGCTCGCAGTCTAGTTGTATTGTATAGAAGTCTGTGCTCTCGAGGGAAAGACACATGTATGAGAAGCTATATCGACACGAGCCGATTCTCGACGAAGGCGATCGAGGATCGCGCCGAGGATGGCTAGATGTTCTAGATCCATTGCTGCTCGTACGGCACGTCCGAGAGCGTGACCTATGACGAATACGCACGGACTACGTCCGTCGATTGGATGAATTAAAAGAATGGGGAAAATTGTCAACGATGAGGAAATTTGTTTGTGCTTTACAGAACTGGGGGTTAAGTTCATTACTACTGAAAAATATCTTAATAACGACGATTGCTTTAATGTCGAGGAGGTAATGGTCTTTTCCCGAATGGAGATCGACGAGAATTTTATTTCGACAAATTATAAGCTCTCGAGTGCGCGCAGAATTTTATTCTTCCCGTTAATTTTAAGCGAAATTTAATCGGGAAAAATTTCGATTCGACTTTTATTTATTTCGTTATAATATTTGAGATCAAAAAAAAATTAATAAAATGATATTTGTATGACGGACTTTTCGTCAAACTGTCAATTTTGCCAGAAAATGCGCTGCTAGATTTGTTCACAATTTTATCATTGAAATATTTTTTTTAGGAGAGATGGGGGATGAACTCTGCTTCGTCTATTTTATATCGTTAATACATTGTTGAAATTTATCACTGGCAAGCAAAAACTATCCATACAAAAAAAGAAAACATTCCGCTATTTAAATTTTACCATAATATTATTTAAACATAATATTAATTAACGAAATATTCCGCTATTTAAATTTTACCATATTTCAATATCTTTAGAAAAATTCTTCGTGTATTTTCTATTTCAGATACCGACCTGCGTTCACAAATTTAATCATGTGCTAGCTGATTGCTTTCCAAGTAATATTACGTCAGACAGCACGCATTTTGGGAATGATCTCCATGCTTCTATCGTCGCAAATCAACCTTTCTCTTCATCTTCTTCTCCTTCTTTCTCTACCTACTATTTATTTGAGTGGCACGTATTAAATTACATAAAGTGGATATTAAATAATCCCAAGGGCTTCAAAATTTTCTTTTAATCCTTATAGATCTCATACTTTTTTTGCTTTATTCCTGGTCACATATGATCGCAAGGTCTTGTCGCAGTTTCAGCCCACCTCAAGGTACTTGCAAAAAATCTGCAAAATTATATATATTCCTTGATATCTAGAGAATGATCGTAAAACAAAAGTTGGAAAATAAATTTTAAACATTTTCTCTATTGATTAAGATCCCTTCCGGATTTCTACCGTTGAAACATCGATAGGGTCGAAGTGATCTATATGCGACCAGGATAAGGGTTAATAATCGCAGAGGAATGAGACAAATTTTTTTCGATCTTATATCGAAAAAATCGACGGGGAAGCTTTGACGAGACCGCGCTGATGGCGCCGAGAGAAAACACCTTGTTTTCCCTACCACCGAGACACGTGCTCCACACGCGTGCACCCACGAGATCTATCGATCTCGTTGGCGAACGCGAAGAATCAACGGACGGAAGAGATCGCGCAGTTAAAGCCGTCTTATATTACACATACATTTCTTGTTATTGTTGTTGTTATTATTATTATTATTAATATTATATCGCTAAGCCCCCCCTCTTCTTCTCTCTTGGTCTCGCGTTCTCCGTTTCTCTTCCTCTCTCCCTGTTTCCGTGCCTAAATCTTTCTTCCTCTCCCCCTCCCCCCCACACCCGCCCCTTCCTTTCCGTCAGCAAGCGATACTCTGGCAGCTAGCTCAGCCTATATAAACGCCCCGGCGACTCGAAAGCACCTCATTCTATACGAGAAGACAGTCTATGTCTCGTGGCGCGTGCAGAATAACACGCGTGATACTAACTCGATCGTTGAGGGAGAGGACGACGGTACATCTTGAATAAAAGGGGAGGAAAGCGACATATATATCTTTTCTCATCGTTCTATATTCTCGAGATCGCTGATTCAAATTGCGAATTCGGCGCGAATCTGGTCAGTGCTCCTTGGAAGACGAGACCACGACGCGAGGCACTCTACTGTTCTCCGCTCTCGAAGCATCACCGGTACCGGATCCTGCCTGTGCGCGAGGATCTCCGCCGCATCGCGAGGGGTGGGCAAGCGCGGGTCGAGTCGCGAAAGAGGAAAGGAACGATTTCCCGGAGGAGGACGAAGGGAGCCTGAAAACCGTCATCGGCAACCACGAATGAAAATGTTGAACCCGAGTCGAAGCTACTACAGCGCGAGCCTAATTATCGTTGTCATGCTCATGATCACCGTGTACTACCCAGTTTTAATTGACACGGCGGTGGTCCGTTCCGAGGTAAGATTCGATCAAATGTATAAATAAAAGAAAGAAAAAACCACAAGTAAATCCAATTAAAAATGCATGAGAGAGAGAGAGAGAGAGAGAGAGAGAGAGAGAGAGAGGGAGAGAGAGAGAGAGAGAGGACTGTTGGCAAAAAAGTGATCCGTTTGAGCGGAAGTCGTTTTGTAGTCACATTTTGCGTGTCCCTACGAATAATGTATTTTATGAAAAAATGCAGAAAGAAAACGCGGACCGTTTTTTATGTAGTAGATTCCGATGACGTATGTATAATATAGATCGCGACACACGTATCTCGCACATGAAGTGACTAATATGAATACATTGTAGTTTTTTTTTAACTCTTTTCCTCGAGATTTCTCGCTTCATCTTTCATCGAGAAAATTGAATTTAAACTCGATTCAAACTATGATTTTAGCGATTGATGCTTATTAAACATATATGACGTACATTCGAGAGTACGAGGTCTCCCGGTCATTTATCGAACGTTACTAGCGTGCACGAGTAGCTTCATTCATGAATCGGCCCTCACTCGAGACTTACAAGTCCTTTCAAGAATACCAGATAATCGCCGCATTTTTTCCATTTATCATGTAAAAACTATTCATTGTTCGCTATTCGATACAAATTAAATTCTGATTGTGTATGTGTGTGTGTGTGTGTGTGTGTGTGTGTGTGTGTATGAATCATTATATATATTCACACTAAAATTAAATATCTTTTATTGGCTTCGATGGCTTACTATCCTTTTAATCGCGACTTATATAAATATTAATAATTATAATTATTTATTATATATTATAATTATAATTATTTATGTATATATAAATTATAATTATTTATTTATTTATTATATTATTTATTATATTATTATATTATTTATGTATATATAAATTATTAATAATTATATAAATCGTGACTAAAAGAATAGTAAGCCATCAAATTATAAATAATATGTGTATGTGTGTGTTGCGATTGGCTATTGAATCGCAACAAGAGTTTCGCAAATCGCGGCGATTCTTCATTTATGAGTAGCGTTTGCATCAATTACTCTCATTAAAACTCCGATTAAAATGTAATTATCGACGTATTATCTCTCTGCAGTGCTTCTCCTTCTCTTTTCTCTTTCCAATCGAAACTGACTCGTATATTGCCAGAAATACAGAAAATTTGACGAAAATATTCGACGTTTTTAATTCAAAATTTATTGATAATAACGAAATTAAAGTTTCTAATAATAATAATAATTGTGTATATAAAATTAATTGTGGCTTATCGTGTACGCGGATTTATTTAGTAATCATTTTACAGAATTGTTAACCTTACAAAATATATATATATATATATATATATATATATATATATATATATATAACAATTTGATAATTGGTGTATATATATATATTAATTTTAGATATTTTTAGATTCAGAACGATGTAGTAAAATATTATATATGAGAAAAAATATTTTATCACCACTTTTTTTATTCCAAAAGAAATAAAAAGATGGTGATAAAATATTTTCATATCTAATAAAATTACTTATCAATACATATATATATATATATATATATATATATATATATATATATCGGGTAAGTAATTTTATTAAATACAAAAGAAGAATATTTTATATCACCACCTTTTTATCTCTTTTGAGATTTGGTGTAAAGATTCTTACACAACTTATGTAAACATTTATTTGAATTTTTTATTGGAAAAAGATCAATAGATCTCTTTGGTAACGCTGTCTCATCTGCTGCTTCTTTCTCTCCCGGAGACTCTTCCTATCTTCTGTAGACATTGCAAAGTTTGCAATTTATAAAAATAAATGCAGACGATGTAAAAATTTTTAACAAAAAGAAAAGATACTTTCTTAATCGATACATAATAGTCGCTGATTTATCCAATCGTTTAATTAATCCCATTAAAATTCCAGCAGTATATTTTTATTATATAATCACATGAAATATTTTTGATTATTATATAATGGAAAAAAATAAATGATACGTTTCATTCAACTTCGTTTTCACGCGTTAAATGTTTAGTCGAGAATTGGTGCTTCGTGTTCTTCGTGTAACAACAGTTATTAAACTGGAATTGAAATAAAAAAGCGAATTATGTATATATGTGTTAAATGGAGAAATTAATAGATAGAAGAAAATTTCGAGGTACTTGTTTACAGAAATTGGATCATCAGCTTATAAAGCAGTTTGGTCCTAAGAACGTAAGAATCTCACGAGCCATAGAGAACAACGATAAGGAAGATGCGCCGAAACGATATTGTTATAATACGGCTTGTGGATGGGCGGTTTATGAGAGAGATTTACGCTCCATCGAATATTACATGAGAAACACGTAAGTAAACTGTCTGTTAATCGTAATTACGATAATATTAAAGATATTCATTTATATGAAACTATCTTTATGAGAAGGAATCAAAAGTTCTATTATTTAGAGGTCCAAGGAGTTACGTGCCAAATTTTATTTTATTCCACAAATTAAAGTTATGAAATTTTATTTTATTTTAAAATAAAATATTAAGAAAGAGCTATGAAATTTAATTAGCATTTTTAAACAATAATTAATATCATAATATGGTATGTGCATTTATCAATATTTTATGTTCAAAAATTTTGGAAATATAAAACAAACATGATTAATTGTACAATATTATTTATCTGAATGAAAAATATGAAAATAAGTAAATGTTTTAAGAAAGACAAGAATAATTTGTATGTAACTAGATTTAATCATATTTGTCTTATCCACTTTTTATAACGCGATAACCATAAATATTTAATGAAATTACTGGGAAAAAAAATAAAACAATCGTGTCGGAAGACTGATGATTTAATAAATCAATCATCCGTATTTTCTTCAAACTACAAATTTTGAAAATTTTCACGAAAATGTCGAATTAAATCCAATTAATTAAGATTAATTTCGGACATTAATTTCAGACGTTACTTTCATTTATATCAGTTACACGTAAGAATCACGTAGAGAAATTTTAGGAGAATTTTCGATGCATTGGAAATTTTCGGGCATTGGAAATGTCTAATCGTTTTTGATGGATTCCCTCGCTTGATTTCCAGCTGCGACTGTCCGGACACCTACAAGTGCGTGCGCGTCGGCGATGATCTGTCCGCGAGTGCGTATGTGTATCGCTGCCGCGAGAACATAACGGTGGATGACATCCTGTTTTCGGAGGATGCCAATTGAGAGACGAAGCCGGTGGCACCGTCGCGGAGCATCCTCGTGTGGTCACGCCAACTTAACATTACCGCGCGACGGCTTTACGAACCATCACCGTCCGGCTCCTCCACGTAATTAATCTGCGTAATCCTTTTATGCTAATGTAAGATTAAAGAGATCCTGATCAAATAAGAGTCTGGACGCGCAGGTGATTTGTCAAAAGAAACGGGAAATGGCGAAATCAGTAAAAAGTTGTTGCATTTGATGCCATTTAATAAGTATTTAACAAGTAACATTAACAAATAAACATTTTTTTGTAATTTAAGAAATTTTTATATATTTCTTCAAATCTCTTCTTAAGATTACAATTTTTTAATAGAAGTATTAATAGAAAAAAGCTGAACAAAATATTTAATAGTATAAATATTCAGAGATATTTAAATTTAAAATTTGCTATAAAACTATATTCTCACATCTATATTCGTTTATTCTTTTTTTATAAATAAATAAATCATTAAATAAAACAAACAAATGTCTGGGAATATATTAATAAAATGATAAAAGATTTTTATCAATTATATAAAATAATTTTGCAATTATATAAATTTATAAAAATTGCAAAGAAACAATGTATAATATTAAATTAACCTTGAAAGTTTATATGAATTAACAAATAAATTTAGTAAAGATCTTTAATTTTCATTCACACTCTATGAAGTCTGATGAATAAAATTATTAAAAATAAATTCAGCCACCATTTTCATTTCGAGTGTCCAGACACTTATTAGAGGCTTTCTCTAAAATCGATCGTTTCTACGCCATCTGATTAGCTCCCGGCTCCTCGCCAGTTCGAGGATCAATCGAATGACCACCAGGTTCCTCCGCTATTATCAAAGTTCGAATTACTTACGAGTGCAAACGGAGCGCCGTCGTTAGGCGCGACAGGTACATATATAGTTAATTCCTATTTGGACTAACAATCTTACAGGCGAAAAGAAGGGAGTACGCGATATACAGAGTATATGTATGCATTTTAGCCTCCGATACAAATTTCCAGTTTTTAAGCTCGCTCGATTTATCGTCACCGCCCATACAGCGCAGAATACATTGCAGCAATATTGCTACAATGTTCTGCACTGTATGGACGACGTCGTGAATCCCGATGAATCCGAGCGATAGCTAAAGAGTCTCGTTTAGTTACACACGCACACACGAATCGTTTTCATAAATCTTCAATCCTTATCTTTACTTGCACTGTCGCGATATACTTCAAATTTCATGTTCATTCATTGACTCGTCTCTCTCTTACTGAATATTTCATATAAATAACTAGCGATAAATAATGTTTAATTAGTTGGTAATAAAATACACATCGGACAGGAAAATAATTAAACATTAATTAAACGAAAGAAAAGAAATTTGGTATACGTTTTCCCAGACACATTGATCAATAATCATCCGAGCAACAATCGTACCTAATCTAAGCAACAATCGACCTAAATGTTAAGAAATCCGATGTCTCCTTCTCTATCATTTATATAGGATATAAGATCTGTATACAGATCGAATAATTCTAGAAATCTAGGCTAACGATTTAGCATAATTATGTTACGATATTATTGATTAAACTCAAAAAAAAAAAAAAAGAAATGACAATCGAAAAATGCCGATCGCTATAATTTGTTAGCAAATCAGTTAAAGGACATTCAATTCAGAAGCGTGTAAGCGCATTAAAAAAATTGCAATTATCTGAATTTTACTCCAATATTATTAATTTATATTCAATATGTAAAATTATACGTATGCGTATGTATAAATGTAGAAATAGGGCTTTTGCAAAGCGAACAATGTCCTTACACATTTGTACTTAATTGAAGGAGTTGTTACGAAATAATCAAAGAAAGAAAATGATTCTTCCTTCTCGTATAATAATGGATCATTTACGAGAAATTTTAATTTTGCGATCGCCCGTATCCATTACTTAACTATCATGCGAGTATCGATATAAATATGAGCGTAAGTCGTTTTTATCCGTGACCTTTTGGTTTAATCGCACGGGTAAAGTTGTCGAACTGTCGACCACAAAATTGCGAATAAAGCAGATCGTGCATGAAACTTATATACTATATGTGTAAGCATCGCGTAATCTTTCATAAAATCGGTAAGAAGGGGAAGAAAATGTGGACCGAGTCAATTGAAAAGCAGTGTGTCAATAATTCACGGGAGGCATATAATATATTTTAAATCGTGAAAATAATTTCTTTTAAATATATCTATAGCTATATCAAAAATCACTGTAATATTTTGATTGATAAATTACGTTAGAAACATGCAAACTCGATTGTCATGAAACTATAGTAGCGATACCGGTTTCATTCCGGATTAATCATGACATTTTCGATACACACGCTCTGAAAAGAATGAGACACTACACGTTTTTTTCCCAATCTGACCGAAACACAGAATATAAAAATATCTCAATATGAAATATGAAAATGTCTCAAGAAGCCTATAGACTAAGAATAAGAAATAAGTACTTTCATTTCGTTATATTCTTATATGCAATATTTCATTTGTTATGTAATATACAGGAAACGTAAATTAAGATTACGCGATTAAATATCGAGCGATATATTGTATAATAAAATATTGTCTCTAATATTTTATCACTTTTAATATAATAAAATAAAGTTGCAAGACTATTCTTCATCGTTATTTCTTTCATGTATTTCGTTTCTCCTCGATATTATTTCTGTAAAAAACCGATTGATTTGAGAAAAATGTTATTGCACAAACACAAAAAGGGGATAACGAAGAGGGCGCATAAGCTAAGATATGTATACACACACACATATATATATATACATACATACATATGAAACGGGTAACAGTTTTCGACAACAAGAACATCTTAATATTATAAGTTTTATTATAATATTATAATAATAATTATTTGTGTGCAAAATATATATCAACATTAAATTATCTCGAGTAGTAAAATTGCCTGTACATTTATTTTTGATATACACGTAAACTTTTAAAATTAGCAATTTTCTCATAAAATACAGTAATATAGTCAGAAGTATAATCAGACATCGGGAAGACCACGTTTCTCATCCCTCTCTTTCTTTCCTTCGCAATTGGTGTTAAAAAATTAATTGACCGGACAAAGTGATGTAGAAAGAATAAATGACGAAATATTCGATACAGATTAACAAGCTGAATAAATCGGGATAAGCAACAGTTGCACCGACATTTACAGCGTTTATGTATTTTAAGAACAATTGGAGTGAAAAAAAAATATATATATATATATATATTTTTTTTTTTAATGAAGGCCACCATATACATATTATAAAAAAAAATTGAATCTCTGAATGTAAATGCCAACTTGTTAATTTGAATTATATATTTCGACACTTATTCCATTTTCCTCTTTCCTGTTTCATTTAGTTTTCCTTCCCTCTTGAAATTGTGACTTCCTCTTTCTCTTCCTCTCTATTTATTTCACTGGACGAGGAAATGCTTTAATAAATATACAACCACAGTATCGTGCATTAGAATTACGAAATGTATAATTCATATGGTACGACTACATTATATATTATGTTATATAATTAAATATCTAATTTTATCTTATTCTTAATCAAAGCTTTTCTTATCGAATAGGTCACATACACACATTTGTAGAAGCATATTCATTTAAATATATGTAATATAGACGCGTGTGTGCTTAGAAAATGATTTGTGCTCGTCGCGCGCAAAT